CCCCCCTGGAGGTACCCTTTGGCTGAGCTGTTCCACATGCTGGAGAGGAAGGAACCTGGACCCCAGGGCAACATTCTAGGCTGCACAAGCTGCCCCGCCCAGGGCCAGGAGCACAGGACCACAATGGTGTGTGGGCAGGAGCAGGGCCTCTGGCTGGACATGTTGGCCCTGGGTGTCTGGTGCTGCAGCCAAGGTGGGCCTCTCTTCTGGGCCTGGAATTCAGGCTTCAGCGACGGAAGGCCCGTGTTTTATGAGCTAAACGTCTACCGAGTGCTGTTTGGAAGGAGACCCGGACCAGGCCTGCCAAGTGCACGCTGCATTAGTGAGTGGCTGAGGGCACCAGTGGACCCACAGCCCACACTGCCCATCGCCCCAGAGCAAGAAGGTCTTAACCTCCCCGGCTGAGAGAGGTGTAGTCACTCCCCAGGGGTCACCATTGTCCCGCCCCTTCCCTGGGCTGGAGGGCAGGGCCCTGGGTGTGTGGCTGCAGGGCAGGGCCCTGGGTGTGTGAAGTGCAGCCCTCCGTGGAAGCACCGTTCTCTCCTTTCTCAGTGTAGGAAAGCTTAGGAAGCAAACCGTTCTTTCAGCATCCTGTTAGGTTTGGGGTTTTGTCTGAGGTGTCATGTTTTGTCAGATCCGTGTTCTTTCAGAACTGGCATGGTGAGGTCTGCATGCCAGTCGAAGGCGGTTTGTGTGGCAGGACCAGGATTGAACCCAGGACCTCGCACACTCTGGGCAAGCGCTCTACCTCTGAGCCACGCCCCATCCCTTTTTTATTTTTTATTTGGAGACAGGGTCTTGCTGCTACATTGCTGAGCCACTGGGAGGTGATGGGGCAGAGGTGCTGCCTGCCGCAGCCTTCCTGAAGCACACACAGTGGGATGTTCTAACAGAGCAGAAATGAGCAACTAAGTTCTGAAAAGCCACGACAGAACGTTGCTCCTCAAGTCTCATGTCTCCTGCCTTCGCAGGCCTGTGGCCAGGCCCTGTCCCTCTGGTGGGCACTCCTAGGTTTCAGCAGCTGTCCCCAAGCCGCCCACTCACCCTGAGCACCTACCTCACTGTCACGCAGGAGCCGAGTATGGTTTGGAAGCTTGGGGTTAGAGATGGCTCTGCAGATGCCCCGTTGAAGGATCTTCCTGGTTTGTCGGGGGCGTGGTGGGGGGTGCTAGCCTGGCCCGTGCAAGGCCCTGGTCCATCCCCAGCATCGCCAGAAACAGTAAAGGAATGTGGTATCTCCGGAGTCTGCGGCGTCGCGTCCACTAGTGTGGCCATCAGAAAATCCCTGTCTGCTCATTCAGCGGACACTCACGGAGACCCTCCATGTCTGTCCTGCACGACTGCATGCCCACCTGTGGGCCGTGCACCCAAATGAGTAGACCCCAGGGATTCCTAGGTGACTGTGCTCTGGCAGCCCCTGGGCTGGCTCGTACAGTGTTGAGGTCTTCCTCTGGGTGAGCCAGGTTGGCAGGAGATGGCTCTTTGGGGGGGACGCTTCAACTAAGTTGGAAAGGAGGACAGTAGGCCTGGAAGGACCAGTGCTGACTGTGGCCCTGGAAGGAGACTCTAGGGCGAAAGATGCCACGGGCAGGAGCATGGATGCAAGGTGCGGTGGGAGGTCATGGGGCCAAGTTGGAGGCTGATCCTCTGCCTGCCAGGCTCACAGGCATCAGCGACAGACGTCTGTCCAGTGAGTAGGAGGTAGGGTGCAGGTGGCTGTGCTTCCTGGGCCCCTCTCCTGGTTCTGAGGTGGTGGCATCTTCCTGCAGTGGCCATGGCTGCCCTGTCAGCGCCACACATCACAGACTGGGGGGGGGGGGGGGGCGGGGGACAAAGGAACTGACTGCAATGTCCTCTGAGAGTGGGACTCAGCTTGCAGGTGTGGCCACTGTCCATCTGTTCTTGGGCAGCATTGAGCTCCTAGCCACACCCAGCAGCACAGGGGGCAGTGTGGACCCCCAGGCAACTCCACACCTGGCTACAACACGGGGGTTCTGTTCCCAAAAGGGAAAAGGGGGACCTGGGTAATCTGGGGTCAGTTCTCTCTGCCACAAGGCCAAGTCGAAAGCTGTCTGCCTGCGAGGGCTGACTTCCCCTGCCCAGCAGGGATGCTTCAGGGGCTGTGTGCTGAGGTGTGGGAGCTGGTGTGAGGGCCTGCAGCAGTTTCTGGCTGGCTCCAGAGGCAGGGCTCCCTGGTGAAGCCAGAAGATGTGGCTTTAGGCCTGTTGGGACTTTCTGTGTGTGTGTCGTGGTGCCGGGGATGGAACCCAGGGGTGCTCTACCACTGAGCCACGTTTCCAGTCCTTTTTATTTTGTTTTGAGACAGGGTCTCACTAAGTTGCTTGAACTTTGGATCCTCCTTCCTCAGCCTCCAGAATTGCTGGGCTGTCGGCATGTGCCACTGCACCTGGCTACTTCAGAGTCTCTCATCCAGACAACAAGAAAGTCAACCACAGGGAGCAGATAGACGAAGGTTGTCAGTGTCCACATGGACATGGTGGTGCAGGGACATGCGTGGCCCAGTTCACTCTTACTGTCTGACGTCTTTCATTCCTTCACCCATTGACTTCTGTGCACCCCCTCCACACCAGGCGCAGCTTCGGCTGCAAGGGGAAGAGCCCGCAGCAGAGACAGTCTGCTGGTGGAAGCTTCCGGTGCAGGGAGAGAAGCACAGTCAGCCCCCCACTCATAGGATGACTGCAGCTGGGGCAGGTGGAGACAGAAGGCCAGCACAGACAGAATCCCTGGTGCCCTGTGGGAGTGGGACGAGATGAAGGGCCAGAAGGGAGCAGACCTGGCGTGGGCAGGGGCCGTGGTGCCCAACAATGCCCGCAGTCCCTCCTCTGATGTCCTTGCAGTGGCCCTGCTCTCTCTGCCTCTCCTAGTGCTTCCCATCCCACACGGAGCTAGGTGGGCATTGTTCCTCAACTCTTGGTTGCAAAAATAACAGTTGCTTATTATGGGATAGGTAGGATGTAGGCATCAGGAGGGAGACTGGCACAGCTCTCTACAGTGGAGAGATCCATCTGTCTGAACCCTCAGGCCAGCTTCCGTAGGGCAGCTGCTGATGGCCATGGAATACGTGCCTGTGACCGCTTCCTGAAAGGACACACAGTCCAGGTGAATTGCCCGACGCCTGCCTGCCAAGTGACCATCCCAGCTCCTGGCCACCCTCCTCCCTGGATGAGGGCTGCTCCACCCACTGCACCCAAGTGTGCTCCCAACACTGGTGTCCAGCAGAGTCTGTCAGAAATGTTGCTCTCCAGCCAGGCACCGTGGTGCTCACCCCTGATCCCCACAACTTGGGAGCCTGAGGCAGGAGGATCACAAGTTCAAGGCCAGCCTTTGCAACTTAGCAAGAAGAGCCTGTCTCAAAAATAGTAAAGCGCTGGACAAGTAGATCAGTAGTAGAGCTCCCCCGGGTTCAACCCTAGTACCTCAAAAAAAGAAATGTGGATCTCAGACCCCAACCCATTTCAACAAGATCCCAGAAGCTCTGGTGCCAAATCCACTCAGACCACATCCTCTGGTTAGGGGCCTTTCTGACTACACACATGCACACACACACTCGCGCCTTCTGCAGAAGCAGACCCCTCCCACACTGAATCGCATCACCACACAGGATGCCAGCTGCGTGCCAAAGAGCCCGTGTGGACCAGCCCAGAATTCAGGGTTCCTGAAGACCCACAGAGGCTATGAGAGTGTGAACTTTATCATCAAAGGATTGTGGCAATGCTTTTGGAAAGAGACTGCCATGTGCAAATTGGTGTGAGAAGGACAGGGTGCTGAGCAGGATGTTGCAATTGCCAGGTGTCAGAGGGTGGAGCTGCGGGGCGTAAGTGGTCTTTGGAATGTGGACTGTGTGCCTCTTGTACTTCCCATCACGTTCCAAATCCATTTTGTGCATCTGTTTAGCAACCAAGATTTGTACCTGTCAAGGCTCAGTATGGGACCAGCCAGCACTAGGAGGGCCTGCTGGGTGCTGTGGCCCTGGGGCCCTTCAAGGTCCCATTTGCCTGCCTGTTCCTCTCTAAGGCCTCTGCTCCAGTGCAGTCATCCATACATGGCCTGACCCCAGAAGGGCTCAGGAGGTGTGTGCAGGTGGCACGGGGTGGGCCAGGTGCTTGAGGCTGGACAGTTGGTGCTGCTTTTGGAAGAAATAAAGGATTTTTGAGTGGCAGCTGGTAAGCAGAGATCTCCTCATTAGGTGTCCTGCCTTCCTCATGATGAGGGCAACATGCAGTTGTGGACAGACAGAAGTGGAGAAGAAAGGTCTGGCCGGAAGCGAGGTGGTGATTTAGTCCCAGCTAGAGCCGACCTTCCTGCAGGGGCTGGGGATGGAGTCACTGCCTCTGGGGCTTCCTGTTCAGGTCTCCTGTGGGTCCCAGGAGCCTTTGGGAGATTCTGCTGCCCCCCAGTACTCACCCCTGTATTTAGACAGGATGTGCTGGTGGCTGGATCCTGCGCCTGAGCCTCCCATCCCTCTGCATGTCTCTGTGAAGTGGGGACGTGGACTGGTGCAGGGCAGCCGAGAGGTGGCTCTGCCCCCATAGCTGCAGGCCCCTGCTCCTCAGTGTGCACATGGGTGGCATGGACTCGGGACCGTGTGGCATCCTGTTCGCTTCATCAAGTGAGCTGGACAGGGAAGGTTTCATTCAGGTCTCAGGGTAGAGTGCACAGGATTCTCAGGGCCACAGGTGTGCTCCACCCTCTTATTTTGGACCGGTCTGAGCTAACTTTCCTTTTTTGGAAACCATGTTTTTCCTTTCCTCCAAGGAAACCTTGTTTCACAGGTAGGAGAGACATGGAGAGGCAAGTCTGCCTTGTGAGAGGAGTCCTGGCTGGTGGCCCCAGGAGCCTGGGGATGTTGAGCCCCGAGGGGTCTGGGATAAGCGACGGGGTGGACCTGGCAGCACAGAGCTGGCCAGAGGGGCAGTGGTGGGGGAAGGGACGTGAGCTCTGGGTACGAGGTGCCACCTGCTGTTACATTCTCCTTTCAGATCATCAGGAAAGCCTTGACGGAGGAGAAACAAGTCTCAACAAAAACATCAGCCGTGGATCTTGTGACAGAGACGGATCACCTCGTGGAAAATTTGATTATTTCTGAGTTGCGAAAGCGGTTTCCTTCCCACAGGTGAGCGTTTTCCTCGGGGGACACACCCGGCACACACAGCCAGGCCCATCCGGAGGCGCTGCTGACTGTCACTGCCCAGCGGACATGAAATCCCTGGCCACAGTCTGTCCTGGGCCCTGCAGAGCAGGAGAGTGAGCCCACCTGTTTTCCTGCTCATCGCGGTAACCTCGTGTCCGCAGATCAAAGACAGAAAGAAGGTGCTACTCTTAAGCGCACGTGCTTGTGCTCGGGAGGTGCCTGGCGCCTCCACTAAGCCACCCCTGTTTCCAGAGGCATGGCCAAGCCTGACCCAGAGAGTCCTGGAGCAGGGACATCCCTGGCAGCTGTGCCTACCCTGCCTCCAAAGGAGGACGGACACGGCAGACGTCAGCCACACAGGACCCGGTTCCATCGCCAGTGTATAGTGACACGGGCTCCCCTCACCCAGACCAAAGCACATGGGGACACGGGCGCTCTGTCCCCCAGGTCTTTGTAAGGACACAGTTCTCATGATGGCTAAAGAATTTAGCCCATAGATTGCTTGTATTCTTTGAGAAGAAGGTGCCGCAGCCACCAGCCAGCTACGTCTAGGACTGTATCAGTGTCACGCTGGAGGTTGCTGCGGCCTCAGTCGTGTGTCGGACGGGACGGCAAGGGCCGGCTCCTCGTCTGGGAAGAGGTATCGTCAGCAGGCTGGCATGGGCAGGGCCTCGTGAGGTCGCCCCGGGGGTGCCAGGCGGTGTGGCAGGTGCTGCGGGTTTGCTCTGCGGTCCTGGAAACGGGGGAGCCCGCGGGGGGAGCCCGGGGAGTCTGCCATCGGTCTGCGCGAGCATGCATTGCTGTGCACGCAGGTGGACATGCGTCTCCATCCGCGGGGCCCCCGATGCTGAAGCCCCTCCGAGTGGAGGATGGTAGAGAGGGCGTGTGGGGATCCCCGGAAGTGTCTCCATCAGACTCACCCAGCCTCGGTCGGGGTGAGTCGGATGCCTTCACTCGTCCAGGAACTGTGGGTCCCAAAGTGAAGTCCGTGGTCACTGCCCCGCACCCCCAAGGTCCCTTGCCACACCCTTCTTCCTGGGCTCTGAGGGCCAGTGCTGATGCTCAGTTTATTTCAAAAATTCAAATTAAGTAAAATGATTTTTAGCATATCTAAGAAGTTTTTCGTTTAATTTGTTTTGTTTTTGTACCAGGGATTGAACCCATGGGTCCCCATTCCTTTTTATTTTTTATTTTGAGACAGGTCTCACTGAGTTGCTTAGGGCCTTGCTAAATTGCAGACTGGCGCTGGCTTTGAACTTTCGATCGTCCCTAGTCACTGGGATTACAGGCGTGTGCCACAGCACCACAAGATTTTTATTTTTTATTTATTTATTTATTTTAATATTTATTTTTTAGTTCTTGGCGGACACAACATCTTTGTTTGTATGTAGTGCTGAGGATAGAACCCGGGCGCAAGCATGCCAGGCGAGCGCGTTACTGCTTGAGCCACATCCCCAGCCCCCACTTTTTTTTTTTTTAAAAACCGGGGTTAAGACATGGCGCTCTACTACTGAGCTATGTCCTCAGCTCTTTTGTTTTTATTTTGAGACACAGTCTCAGGGAGTTGTTGAGCCTGGCTTTGAACTTGCTATCCTTCTGCCTCAGCCTCCCAAGTTGCTGGGATTACAGGCATGTTCCACTGAACCCTGTAACTAGGATTTTCTTTTAAATACCAGAGTAGCTGGGCATGGTGAAACATGCCTGTAATCCCTGTGACTCAGGAGGCTGAGGTAGGAGGATCTGGAGTTTGAGGCAGTCTGAGCAACTTAATGAGACCCTGTCTCAAAATGAAAAATAAAAAGAGCTGAGGGTGTAGCTCAGTGGTACAGCACTGCCAGGTTCAATCCCACATAGTACAAATAAAAACAACAATAAAAATAACAAAATGGGAATTGAATTGTTTTAGACCATAGGCCAGTTGATAAATTTGCAATGAGGAAAAAATGCATATTATAAGTAATGTGTTGTTACTTTTCTGCTTTCAAGAATTTAAATAACATCCCTGAAGCAATATAGTAGTGTAAGGTTGCCTGTCATCCTTTCTTAGGAAGGACTGACAGTCTGAGCTTTGATCCTTCCTCGTTTCTAGACTTTTGTGAAACTTTATTGAAGATTTATTGCAACTTTCTTGTTTTTAATAAAATAAAAGAGAGCCTGGAGGTTCCTAGAAGTTTTATCATTTTATTTGACTCATCTGTGAAATTTTGAAATCTTGGGTCCCTGACCTGGAAGACGAGTGCACACCCACTCAAAGAACAAGAAGGTTCCAATTCGCCTGTGCCCTCAGCCCCAGCAGCTCCAACCAGTCACTGCGCTTCTCAGGGCCCTGAATTCCTCACCTGTGAAGGAGGAACTGACCCAGGTTGTCCCTGAGGTGCGGTGGCACCCTTTGACACGCCGTGGTGATGGCAGAGGCAAGCCTGCAGAGCACAGCCAGGAAGCAGCTGGGTCTCTGAAGACACTGGTGACATTGACCTCGCTAGCAAGTCTCAGGCTCGCCCTGGCTTTGTTGGGACGCCTGAGCCTGCTTTTGGTCTGTGATTTGGGATGAGAGCCAAGCATAGCTGCTTTGCAGATATACTTTTTGTTGGTTGGGCTTTTTGTTCTTTTTCAGGACTGGGATTGAACCCAGGGCCTGGTGCTTGCTATGCAAGTGTAGCTCCTTTGAGATGTCCGGTAGCCACGTGGACCTGTTACTGGTGATAACGCTGTTGTAACCACGTCGTCGTCCCCTCCTGAGAGCCTGTCCAAAGTCACCAGGTGGGTGGCTCAAGTGGAGGAAGAAAATGGAGGCTCAGACTGCCCTGGCTGGCCAGCACCTTCTTTGCCTCTTGCAGGGGCGTGCACCCTGAGCTCTGCAGAGTCCCAGCACAGTGCCATGTCCACTGAAGGCACGTGTCAGGCAGAACGACTGATAGTCCTCCACATGGAGAAGACGGATCCCCACCACCAGCAGCTGGACGTCACTTCCTGTCGTTCCCATATGCTCTACCCTGGGCTCTCATGTTATCCCTGGGTCAGAGCCCTGGGGGCCAGAACCAGGCTGCAGCTTGAGAAGATGTGGTTGAGGAGCATCGGTTAGCTCTGCAGTGGATGGAGACCATGCTGACTCTCCTGTCACAGAGGGACACTCTTGAGAAGCCAGGGAACAAGACACTCTTAGAAGCACTCGGCTGCCAAAATCACAAGGAAGGTTTTGTTATGACTATTGGAAAAAACAGGCCAGTATTTAAACTGGGCTGCAGCATTGGGTCACTATGGCTCTAACCAGACTTGCAACGCTGCTCGGTGCTCCTCTCCTGTCTGTCAAACGGGCTTTCCAGAGGGTCTCTGAGCTCCCTAAGTGAAGTCATGGGCATTGGTTCTGTTACATGGAGGTCCTGGTGGCTTCTAAGAAGGTGTCTCATGTCACACATCTGTTGAGAGCAGACTCTCCCAAGTCCTGCAGAGAGCGGTAGAACGTTTTCTCCCATTCCATAGTCATTTGCTTTTATGAAGAAAGTCAGGGTTAAGTAAACAAAATTCCACTTCTTCCCCCACCTGCTGTGGCTGCCATGGAAATATTCTGGTGCCTTCAAAGACGGGATGTGGCCCTTGTTGCTGTCAGTACTGGGAGCCGAAGCCAGGCTGCTGTACCCCTCCTGGGAAGCCAGTAGGGAGGCGAGGGGGCTCACGAGTAGAGTGGACAACAGGTGGGCAGAGGGGGACTCGAGGGCCGAATGATCGACTCCTGGAAAAGCCCAGGGCTCAGGTGGGTACCTCTAGTGCCCCATCAAGTGCAGAGTGGAGCATGATTAGCAGGCGTGCAGTGGGCCCTGGCTGGGGTTCTATACATGGGCTTGCAAGGGGACAGACAGGCCTCCTGGTGTCCTGAGATGTGCAGGGTGCCCAGGGCTGCCCAGGCAGTCCGATGCAGGGTGGACACTGTCACACATAGACACGCACGCCCTCCTTCAGGGGCCAGCAGTTTCCTCTCCAGTCTCCTACTTGAGATCAAGTTGGAAAGAAAAAGAAGCCCGCACCCTCCCACTTCCTGGGAACTTGTGTATGAGTCTTTCCTGCTCCCTCTTCTCTTGAGCCATGTCTCTGTTGCTTTTGTCACCCTCTGTCACCCTTGTGCCCAGTTTAAGCTTTAGCATTCACTCCTTGTGTGTGTTTTTAGGGTGTGGACCGTTTTCTTTATAACCATAATTATAAGCCACTCCAGGAAAGGAAAATCACGCAGCAGCAGCAGCAGGAGTCTTTGGCAGGGGGAGATGGCAGAGGGGATGCCACCTACACAGTCCCTGCCTGAGATCTTTCTCGGCTCTGCTCCTGCCTGTTCCCTGCGCTCAGGCATGCAGGCTCCTGCACCAGCCCCACCCTGCCATCGTTCCATCTAGACCTGTCTGGGAATACCAGTCCCTGGCCATGGGCTCTGGTGGGTGCACCCACACCTGGGCCAGAGGTAGTGGCAGGATGGAAGGGCTCACCTCCCAGGTGGAGGGGCACACGATGCCCATGGGAAGCACGGAGCCCGAGCCCCAGGGGAAGACCGTGCCAGCTGCGTTACACAGCTTGGTGTTTACGTCCCCATGCCTTGCCTGCTCACTTCGGGTTTCCCCAGAGACCCAGGGAGGTGGTGGACACAGCCAGCTGAGGTGACGTGTGTGTGGCCGTGGGTTACTGTCAGATGCTTTATACAGAGAGGGCCAGGGTGCTGTGTATGTACAGAGTGTGAACTTGGTGCCTGTGAGAGGGTGATGCCAGCCCTGGAGCTGCAGGGGCCTGGGACATTGCAGTGCATGTGGACAGAAGTGATGTGAGAATGCAGGCAGGTTGCCCTTGTCTCAGGAGCTGCTGCTGAGCACAGCCCTGGGAGATGGGGGCTCTGTTGGCATCGCTTACTGTGACAGTTGCTGTGTCTGCCGAGCACTTGAAATGCTGCTGGTGAGAATTAAATTAAAGAATGGAATTTTTTTTTTTTTTTGGTGGTGGTGCATAAGTGCTCTACCAGGAGCCACACCCCAGCCCTTTAATTTTAATTTAAATTCAAACAGCCCCCTGTGGTGAATGACTGGGGACTGGGTGAAGCAGCCACTACAATGGCATCCTGTCCGGCTTGTCTGCAAGCTCACTGTGGCCAGACCTTAGGGCACAGGTTCCTTGGGGAAAGTGACTTCCTCCAGGGCCCAGCAGCCTGCTGGGCAGAGCACCAGATGCCAGCAGTCCATGAGAAGCTTCTTACTCCTTTTCTCTCTTTGTAAAAATGTCTTGTCGGCAGCTCTCTCTTTCTCTGGTGGGGAGGTGGACAGGGCCTGAGAACCTACTAGAAAACAGCAGGGCTCCGCATTTCCATACAGACCCAGTGTGTGCTGGTGGCTGCCTTGACTGCAGCCTGGCGCCAGGGCCCTGCCCTCAGCACACTTGGACAATCTGGACATGCCCCAGCATGCCTAGTGCCAGGCTGCCTCGTGTACAGCGGGACACTTCTGGGAGCTTCAGGAAGTCCAAGAGGCTGGGCCGTGAGGCAGACCCCGCTGTAGGAAGGTCACCACGGGGAGGGTGGACAGAGGGGAGCAGGAGGGGCAAGGACTTCTTAGTGTCTGGACCGAGCAGCTGGGTGCCATTTGGAGAAAGCTGAGTTTCTTTTGGTGCCCGTTGACCCTGAGGTCTCGATTTTCCTGTTGGGTTCCTTCCCTTGTGAGGACAGCTTAGGGGCCTCATTAAGAGAGGGTCTCAGTACCACGGGCCCACTGCAGAGTGCAGGGGCAGGAGGCTGTAGCAGGTGGCCATGTCCCCAAAGAAGGAATATTGGAGGGCTCTTGGAGTAGGGGAACCTTGCTGAGCATCTCACGACAGCAGGCAACAGGCGTCCTGGTAACCACACCCTTGCCAGCCTCACTTGCTTTTTCCCAAAGGGAAGCTGGAGGCCAGGGAGGGGAGAGTGGGGAAGGTGTCTGTGGGAACCAGGAGGTGCAGGCCTGTGGAGCTGGATGGCAAGGATGGTTGTTACCTGTGACGTTAGAAGTAGGTGACTTTTAACTGCTCCATGCCCCAGGGCACAGCAATGCCAGAAGGAAAGGGCAGCTGGAGGCCTGGGCCCGGCCTTGCAGGCCAGTGCCTCTCAGTCTCCCATCTCCCACACAGACCTGCTCTTTCTAGACTCAAGTGAACACAGTTGAGCGTCTGCTGTGGGAGGCCTGATGCCAGGTCCTCATCATCTGCAGGTCTGCTGGGCTCTTGCTGCTCTCCCCTACTGAGGTGTCAGTCTGGTGGTGTCTGATGTGATTGGCAGCGCTGGGCCCTGAACACAAGCTCTGGGACTGAGGCTCACCTCCTGACCCTCACCCCAGCCCTGTTGCTCTCAGTCCCACTGAGTCAGCAACTGACAGGTCTTTTAAAGGCTCTGCCTCCATTTGACCCTGAAAAACCCTCATGAAATCAAAGGAGCCCTCTTTCTTCTAGCAGAACTGGAAGCAGTCTGACGCCTGTCCCCTGGCCTTTTGGGCACATTTTCTCAGGCTTTGCTCCCCTACCACAGGTTCATTGCAGAAGAAGCCACAGCCTCTGGGGCCAAGTGTGTGCTCACCCCGAGCCCGACGTGGATCATCGACCCCATCGACGGCACCTGCAACTTCGTGCACAGGTGAGTGCGGCTGGGAGCACCCCCACAGGGCTCTGCTTCCTCGGAGGGCCTGTCTTCAGTAGCAGGCTTTTGAAGTCGGGGTATGTGGACAGACCTACGAGGGTTCATAGTCTCATAAAGGTTATTATCAAACCCTGAAAAACTTAAAAGGTTTTCCATTTGTGAGACACTTACAGAATATAGGTAAGGAATTCTTGTTTTTAAAATGTTGTGTTTGAATCAAAAGGAGCTTAGTAGAGGAAAGGGAGGTGGGAGGGGAAGTGCTGGGAATGGTACTGGCTGGCTAAATTATATTATATTGTGTGTATGTACAAATGTGTACTACAGATCCTATCTTATGCACAACTATAGTGCACCAATAAAAAATGTGGAAAAAAAGTGTTTGCCAGGTATAGTGGTACACACTTGTAATACCAGTGCCTCAGGAGGCTAAGGCAGAGGATCTCAAATTCAAGGCCAGCCTCAGCAACTTGGCAAGACCCTGTCTCATAATAAAAATGGGAATATAGCTCAGTGTTAGAGCGCTTGTGTAGCATGTCTGAGGCCCCGGATTTAATTCCCAGTACTAAAAAAAATAAAAGTTCCATTTAATGTTGGCTGCCTTTACGAAGTGCCACTTAGAAGCAGGTGGGTAGAAGACAGAGCCACCCAGCAACTCCAAGCTGAGGTGCAGAGAGTGGCACACGCTGATGAGATTTGAGTCACCTTCAGGACAGGAGGAGAGCTCAGGTTACAGAAAGCAGGAGATTCTGGGAGGTTGGGAGCCCAGGGGAGGAGGGGCAGGGAACAGAGCTGTAGGACTGGGGAGGTGACAGGTACAACCTTGGGAGCTCCCTGATGTGGCGGTTGTGGGCCCCGTGCTGCTTATCAGGGTCAGGTACAAGTGGCCAATGACCCAATGTTATGGAGCGTGATGTGGCATCTGCAGAGGGCCGTTCTCCCACTGGGTGGTGCCTGGAGCCCCTGGAGAGACTCCCGTTCCATGGGTTGGGCCAGTCCTGAGCTCATGGGCCACACCTGGGCTTTGGGCCACAGTTGGGCTCTGTTGGAAGCATGGGCAGAGCCAGGCCACGGGGCACCTGGCTACTGGTGCTACCCCAGGTTGCCGCCGCAGTGTTTATATGTAACATCCCTCTGAGCACCATGGCAAGCATGACTGCTTTCCAGATGAGGTTACCTCCAGAGCTCAGTCACCCAGACAGGGTCACCCTCTCCTGTCCGTGGAGTCGTGCTGCCTGGTGCCATTGGGCTGTCATATCAACTCAAGCGTGGCCCCTGCCAAGAGTCCCTACCTTGGTGTCGCACCCAGCAGAGCCTCGTTAGTCCTGTCCAACTTGTCATTCAAGGTGCTTGTGAGGGATGCAGTGGCTAAGCCCTGTCTGTAGTGAGGGGTGGACCCTGGTGGCCCCGTGCTCTCCAGGGCTTCCCTCTGCATCCTGCAGGGGGACCTGGGGCCAGAGAGGCGGCTGAAAAGAGGCTCTCATGTTTATCTGGCAATTCCAGAACCCCAGGACCGTAGCTGGAGCAGTCATAGTGACCAGGTAGTGGCCAGCATGGCCTTTTAGTCAGGCAGCAGGAGGAGTTGCTCATGTGTACCTGCAAGTTTGTACCGGCCTTTCCCCGCTCCTTCTATGTCTAAGCTTTGGGAACTCGAACATCAAGGAGGGATTATCTGAGCAGCAGCAACAGAATCACCAAGTAAGACTGCAGACACACTGTGACAGAAATGTCCCTCTACCTCTGTGGCTCACCCACCATGAACTGCTGGGGTCACAGTCAGGGTGTTACTGATATTAGAAAGTAGCCTGTGGCCTCCTCATGGAGGCCGCCACCTAGGGTCCGTGATGTCACCTCCTGGGCCTCTGCACCTCACTGGGAATGGGGGCTGGCCTTTGGGAGGTCTCTGCTTCCCTTTAGGTCCCTGAGAACCAGAGGCTGATTGTTGAAGACCTGGTGGCTGATTGTTCAGAGGGCCGCTTGCTCGCCTGCTTCATGACAATCTCCTCCAAGGTCACTGTCCTACAACATGGCCAGCTAAATCCGTTTTTCTTGGCGGCAGTTAGTGAAATTGTGAGAAGTTGTTTTTAAAAACCTAAGTCCAGCCAGAGTGTGGAGAGGGCCCGTGTGCAGGGGAGCCGCCTGGCCCGGGGGCGTCAACACCTGGGGCTGGTGCTCCCGATTGGTGCGTAAACCCTCTGTTTTCTCTGTAGGTTCCCCACTGTGGCCGTCAGCATCGGGTTTGCCGTCCACCAAGAGGTACGAGGCCCCAGCCCTGGTCTCCACTTTTGCAGTCCTGCCTCTTGCCGTGTGCCTCAGTCGTGATTAGTGAATCCGAGTGTGTGTGTCCAAACCTCAGGAAAGAAACGAGCACTGACCATGGCGGTGGGTGCATTTGAGTCTCTGTAGTCCCTCACTGCTGCAGGTGGCCTGCAGCGTGCTTCCACCCAGGTCCTTTTGTGGAAGGAGATATTCTGAAGCAGATGATCCAAGCGAGTGTCTGTTTGACCCCCAGAGCGTGTGACCTAGTCACAAGCCAAGAGGAGCTCCTATTTTTGGACAAGGTTTTGGATCTCAGTATTCTGTTACTTCTTCCTTCTCTTCCCCTGGCTACTAGTATGAGAGCGTGGCTCTTTCAGGGTTCCCAGAGACCTTCTGAACTAAGCAGTGTCAGGAGACCTGCCGGAGAGGCCTGTGTCGCACTTCAGCCTTTGGTAACCGGTTCAGGCGGCAGCGCTGTGGGAGCCTTACTTTCCGGTAGTGAATTATTTGAACAGGGCTGGGAACCAAAGCCTTTTCCTCATCTCCTGTTAGAAGGTGTTCTTCTCAGTGTCAACACGGCTGCCCAGGTCAGAAATAGAAGTTTGCACACACCTCGGACACCTAAGTTGGAGATCAGTGAGGATTTGAATGGGGGAATTGAACAGTTCCCGGGTTTCTCTGGTCAGTGTCATCACTGAGACCAGCGAATGTGGAGGCCTAGCAGCACCACACGGGTTAGGGCTCATGGCCTCCAGGTTGCAGCAGGTTGAGAGCAGGCTGCTGGAAGGAGGTCGCGTCCAGGAGGATGACCAGGTCCTCTGCCCGTCTAGGTCTGCTGGTTGGTCCTGTGTCCCTGTGGACAGCAGGGGGTGCCTGCTGGTAGTGATAGCTCCTGAAAAGGGGAACCGCTCCTCCATTCCTGAGCATGCCAGGACATTTCCCTGGGTCTTGGGGCCTGCCACAGGCTGGTCTCCACCAGCACCTTTCCAGGCTTACCCTGTTAAAGCCAGTGCAGGAGGCTGGGCAGGAAGGGTCACTGGGAAGCTGCAGGCTGTCTGCAGGCACTAGCTGACTGGTCCCTTTTGCTGTAGGGTGGGACCCTTCCATGTGGTTGAATCATCCCAGTGCCAGCCAAGACCATCCTCAGGCATCTGATCTGGAGCTTTCCATGTTCCAGAGAGATGTGAATGTGGCTCACCCTAGACCGAGTGTGTGTGTGTGGGGGGGGGGGGGGGTGGGTATTGACCCATATGCTGACTGTAGGCAGAGGGAGGAGACAGGTGTGTGGGGTCCCATCGCAGGCCACACTGGCCTCTCCTCTGTGCCATTTCTTGCTGGGAGGCTGTTGGTCCTCACTTTAAGGATGATGCTGCTATTTGTGTTCTGCCCGCTCAAGGATGGATCCCTCTGGACGGTGACTTGTCTTTCTGTGGCTGCCCTGGCCTCTGTGTTCTGTTGGCTCCATGGGAGTGTTCATGATTCTTCGTGCATCAGCCACCTGGAGAGTTTCTGATGGTGTTTGATTAGAGTCACGGGTAGCGTTTTCCCCCCAGGAAAAAAGAGGCCTTTCTAGCCAGACCAGTGGCATGCTCCTGTAGTCCCAGTGACTCGGGAGGCTGAGGCGGCAGGGTGGCTGAGTCCAGGTTGGGCAACATAGCAAGACACTGTCTCCAGAACAAAAAAGGCCTTTGTAGAGAAAGAAGACTGCTCAGTAAGCACTGGTTATTAATGCTCGGTTATGATAATTTTAATGTAGATTTATTACTTTTTAATTATTTTTTTGGCAGCATTGAGGATTGAACCCTAGGGCGCTCTACCACTGAGCTACAGCTCCAGCCCTTTTATTTTATATTTTGAAACAAGGCCTTGCTAAGTTGCTGAGGCTGGTCTTGAACTTGTGATCCTCCTGCCTCAGCCTCCTCAGTCACTGGGATTGCAGGTGTGCGTCCCCGCGCCCAGCCTATCATAACATATTTTTAAGTGTAATTATTAAGAGAAGAGATACCTTTTTGCATCCAGGTCTGGTTTGAACTCCAGGTGCTGTTCTTCTCCTTTGAAGAACAGGTGCTGTTCGTCACCTTTCTCCTTGAGAAAGGTGACTCCTGTCCCCTCGTCACGCTCCTGTCCCCTCGTCACTCTCCTGTCCTCTCGCCGTTGCACTAGACTGAACTCTAGAGCTGTCTTCGTCCTTGGATCTCTCTGACCTCCCAAGCCCTCATGTGCTTTCTTCCTGCCCCTGCACCCTGCAGCTGGAGTTCGGCGTGATCTACCACTGCACAGAGGAGCGGCTGTACACGGGCCAGAGGGGCCGGGGCGCCTTCTGCAATGGCCAGCGGCTCCAGGTCTCCAGGGAGACAGGTAGGCTTCGTGCTACTCGCCTCTAGCTTCTCCTGGAAAGTGCCCAAAGCCACCATCATGTGACAGGGTGCAGATCTCCTGTTGAGAGCTCCACCTCCTTAAGGACATTGTGTTCCTGATGGAACTGGAAATGGAGCCTGTTTTGTGTCTCAAGGTTTGCTGGTGTGGCCAGGAAATTTAATAGTCCTGTTTGTCTTGTGCTCAGATCTGTTATCCTTGAGACTAAAAGAAGCCCAGTGGCTGCTTCCCAGTTGGTCTCTGGGACTGGGTGAGGGGTCGGGGCCCAGGGACATAGAGCATCCAGACATGCCTGGTGGTCCTCGGGTCCTGCCGTGTCCCCAGAGGCCTGCTGTGGCTCCCTGGGTGTGGAACAGTAGCCGTGGTGGGGAAAGCAGGTCCACGTCTTTGGGAAGGTGACCACCATGGGGACAAGTTGTGTGGGTCAGCATGTTGCCAAGAACTTTAGACCTCCACTGTGACGTGGCTCGCTCTTGTTACTTAAAGCAGAACCTTGGGGACCCCCAGTGGGGTCCCTGCAGAAAGGGCTACCAGCCCCTTAAGCCACCTACAACTGTGTGGCCCGCCTGCCCTTCACAGCCAGTTCAGGTTTCCACGTCTCTCCAGTCACACATCAGTTACACCAGTGACGCTTCACTGCACATAGAACAGTCTGTAGGGGACACAATGATGCCAGGCAGAGGAAAGGGTTAGGAAGAGAAGCAGCTAGATGAGAAAAAGGCTTTGGTTAACGTGTGTGTGTGTGTGTGTGTGTGTGTGTGTGTGCGCGCACACACACACACATATATATAAATATATTTTGTTTTATTTGGGGGAGGCACCAGGGATTAAACTCAGGGGCCCTTGAACACTGAGCCACATCCCCAGCCCTATTTTGTATTTTATTTAGAGGCAGGGTCTCACTGAGTTGCTTAGCTCCTCACTTTTACTGAGTCTGGCTTTGAACTTGTGATCCTCCTCCCTCAGCTCCCGAGCTGCTGGGATGTACATCTATATTTATCACAATTATTCATATATTAGTTGTGTAAGTTGATGGTTCTCAGTGTGACATTTTCATATGTTACACACTGTGCTTTGATCATGTCACCCTTTCTTCTGCCCTCCCTTACCATCCCCTTCCCTAAAAGCCCCTCTGGGAAGACTAAAAGATCCTGTGTGGTGGCACATGCCTGTAATTCCAATGGCTCCAGAGGCTGAGGCAGGAGGATTACAAGTTCAAAGCCAGCCTCAGCAATTTAGCAAGACCTTGTCTTAGAATTTAAAAAGGGAGTAGGGCTGGGGATGTAATTCAATGGCAAAGAATTTGCATGCCTGAGGCTCTGGGTTCAATCCCCAGTGTCTGTCTGTCTGTCTGTCTGTCTCTCTCTCTCTCTCTCTCTCACACACACACACACACACACACACACACACACACACTTCTGAATATTCCTGTGACAGTGTTTGAAAAGGTGGTGGGAGTATAGCTCAGTGGTAGAGCAGTCACGCAGCATGCAGGAGGTCCTGGGTCCCAGCCATAGTCACACACACACGCACACACACACACACAGTAGCAAGCACAGCTCCTGTTCATGCCTAACTTCCATGTTTCAGAGGCTGGACATTCAGAGACTGGGTCTCCCAGCCCCAACTGCTGGTTTCCACTTGCTGACTCTGGCCTCAGTCAGAAAGCACCAGTGGTCCCCCTTCTGAGGTCTACCTGCCTCTCTTACAGCCTCCCTTCGGTGCCCATTGCTGGCCTCTCTTCAAACCTCCTTCCTTCACACCCTTCGCCTTTACTTTTCCTCCGTGTCCCTCCCTGGCTGACACCTGTGTGCCTAGGGAGCCTCAGAGGTGACTGTGGGTGGGGGCAGGGTGAGCAGGGGTACAGCTGCCTGCTGGCTGCTCCCTGCTGGGCAAGGATTGTCCCTCTCCTGTGTGACGGCCTTGGCGGTTGCCACAGATGTCCCCAGGTCCTGTGCAGGCCCAGGGCAGAAGGAGGGGACAGCCTCAGAGGGGGCCCCTACAGGACCAGCTGGCCGGTCTGTGCCCCCTGACTCCAGGGCAGACCCGGGCAGCTGCAACCTTTCTCTGCCTCTCCTCCTGGAATGCTTTGCTGGACTGTGTCCAGAGTGCTGGCATTAATTTTAGCTGTGCACACAGGTGGCACCCGCTCAGGCCTCACTGCAGCTCAGTGGCCAGGAAGGTGGCCAGGAAGCGTGTTAACGTGTGTGGGTGAACTTTGCTCTACATTTCATCTGATTACAGCACTAACCTCTGCCCACACTTGCCTACTTCCTGGCGAGCCGCCCACATCTCTCAGTCCCATCCTGACTGCATGTCCCAGGGGCTTTCAGACCCAACATCCAAGCTCTGGCTCCCCTGAGTGGCCCCAGGGCTGCACGTGGTCTGGTTTCCACTGTACCCAGCCTGCCGTCACCTGGTAACAGCAGAGGGGACAGCTGCTGTCCCCACAGAGGTCCTTGCTCACACAGGAACCTCTGAATCACTTGCCTGCCAAAGCTCTGTTGTGAATTGTAAAGTCCAGTGTGTCACTTTCAGCCCTGGCCTCCGTCTCCCCAGCAGGACGCAGTGACTCCTGGGCAGCACGCTTGTCAGGCTCCATGCAGACCTGGCCTCAGGTCCTGACTCTGCTCCTGCTGAGCTGGGCCTAGGGTGAATCAGGTGACCTCCTGGCCCCTCAGTCCTCCTGCTGAAAGTGCAGATGCCCAGGGAGGAGTGGTGACCGCGAGGACTGAATCCAGCTAGGCACAGAAGCATCCAGGAGTGCTGCAGGGTGGTGCACGCCTGTGGTCCCAGCGGCTGGGGGGAGCTGAGGCAGGAGGGTCACAAGGCCAGCCCTGGGGGTCTAGCTCAGTGGTAGAGCACCCCTGGGTTTAATCCTCAGTAACCATGAAAACAAAACTGAAAAACCACCCAGCACAGGACTTGCATAGCATTCCAGACAAGAGCTGCTGCCAAATAAGGACCTGAACCTCTCCCAAGACCATCAGCTGCGCCCTGGGTAGAATTAGTCAGACACACACACACACACACTCACACGCGCACACACACGCATAACACACACACACACCACACAGCTCACCTGTCTGCTCTTCTGCCCTCCCCTCCACCTTTCTGGAATGTCTTCAATCTCACAGATTTAAAAACAAAATGGCACCAGTGGAGTTCAAGGGTTGGACACAGGCCAGCGTTTTACGAGCAGCTTCTCCTTCCAGCTCCACCCCATGAGTCACAGAGGTGTACACAGGAGATAGGAAAGCACAGCTCGGAACCGCCCCCCAGCCCTGCCCCACCACAGCTCGGCACTCCCTGACCCCTGAGTGTCCAGCACCCCCTCGCCAGGGCCTTAGAGGATCTCTGAAGCACACTGACTGCTCTCTGCAGTCCACGGGCAAAGCCAGGGGGGCTGAGTGGGGAGCGCTTGTCCAGCACACGGGGCCCTGGGTCTCCAGCTGTCAACAGCAGAGGCATGCTAGCATCCCTCCCTGCCAGAAGTGAGTCATTGTTAAAATTGTTCACAGTCCTGACAGGGTTCAAATGTTAAACTTCTGTACTTAACTCCTCTGTCTCTCCTGCCATGCTGACCCCCAGCTCGTAGGGACACTAGGGTGATAAAATTAATAACATCACACCCCCATGGTACACATGTGTGTTTCAGAATAACAGTGCTAGCCCTGCTGTGGATGAATGGTTATCGAAAATATTTTTGGGTTTGTCACTTTGCTTTGTCCTCGGTCCTCCACGGATCTACCGGGAGGATGCAGTTGGGTCCCTGTGGGAGTTGCTGAGGCAATCCTCTGGGAGCCCTTGAGTTCATCCACCAATTGAGCAAAATCATAAACCCCCCACCCACCCACCCCGCAAAAAAAATTCAAGCTTTTAAGTGAAATTGGAATTTGGGGAAACTTGTGTCTACCACCTTGAGCAGGGCACCTTCTCAACAGTTAAAGGCTTCCAAGAAGAGAGGTAAAATGAATGAATGTGACATTTTTAGCATTTAATGGTGAAGTATGTCAACATTTGGAAGAACTGATAATCTCAGTGAACCCATTTTCCAAATGACCAATGTGTGATGTTATAGCAAGATCATCCCTGGGCCAGAGACCCACTTACAGTACCAGGCAAGGCTGGGTGTGGCTGGGTGGCAGAGCCCTTGCAGGCCCTGCGATCCTTCTGCAGCATAGCCACCCACACACCACCACCACCAAACTCCAAAAAGACAAGTACAAGGCAGCCCAAAGGTTGTCACCATAACTAGGTGCCAAGACGTCCACTGTGTGCACATCTGTGATCCCAGCTATTTGGGAAGCTAAGGCAGGGGGATTGCAAGTTCAAGGCCACCAACTTAGATCCTGTGTTAACAAAATCTTTAAAAAGGGGCTGGGGATGTGGCTCAATGTCAGAGTACCTCTGGGTTCCCTCCCCAGTACAAAAAAGAACATTCTCAATTATCTGAAAAGACAATTAGAATGCTCCTTCCTTTTCCAACTCCCTAGCTGTATGAGGCCAGGTTTTTCTTCACACATCAACCATATATCACCATAGCCTGAGTAAAAGGCAGATATGAGAATCCAGTTGTCTTCTATTAAGCCAGACACACCAAGAGTCAGAAAAAAAGTGAAACAAAGACACTCTCCTAATTATTATTATTTTTTTGCAAACTATGGTTATTTTCCATTAAAAAACATATTATTCATGTGACAATGTAACATGTACTTCATTTTTAAAATAAGTTAATAAATATTTCAACATTTTCTTATTTTAATTTCTAACACACAAACATCCAGAGTGAGCTCAGGGTTTTTCGGCCACCTTCTCAGGAGTGACACTTGGCAGGCCCTGGGTCAGAGCCTGGGAAGTGCCGCACCACAGGAGCACCTCAACAACCCAGGCTGGGATGTAAAGGACAGGCTCAAGGTCGGTGGAGCATGCAGTCCTGTTCACTGGAACCAGGACCCAGTGGTGCCAGGTCCTGGTGTCAC